TGTGTGGTGGGGGGTACGGGAAGGAACGTGGGGACATGGGTAGAGGGAAGTTGACACAGGTGGTGGCATTGCAATATTGTATATCTAAAACTCAACTATGAATAACTTGGTAAATCACAGTGCTTTAATATAAAAATGTGGAAAAAGTAATGATAGCACAGGAGGCACCATCTGCTCCCTTGGAATGACTCCCCTCCCCCCACACACCACGACAGCGATGGAGCCACAGGGTGAGAATGATGGAGGAGTGTCAGCCATCACCTCAGGGAGGGGCCTGAGCGTAGAGGACTCATGTCCAGGCCACGGCCGTGAAGCTCAGACAGAGGCTGTGCTAAGGTTGAGATCTGGCCACAGCCCCCGGCCCCCAGCAGAGTGCAGGTGGGCTAAGGGCGGGGTTTGTGGAAGGCAGAAAAGCCCTGCCAGACCCCAGTGGAGCGCTGCAGATGAGTAGGCGGGCATGGAGGTCCAGGACTCCGACAGACCCCTTGCCTGAGGAAGGGACAGACACCAGGGCAGCCCACTCAGGATCTGGGCTTAAGACCCCAGCTCCACAGGGTCCCTGCATGGTGGGCAGCAGCCGGACAGGCTCCAGGAGGAGCAGGGGCAGTGCAGCTGAGGAATCTGGGACCCACAGCCTACAGAATTCAGGGGCTCAGCCGCATTGAGAGCTGGGGTGCCGAGCGCCTGAGAGTCTAGAAGCGGGTTCGAGTCCGGGCATGGGCCGCCAATGGGCTACAGCATGAGGGCTCAGGTGGGGGCAGGTGAGGGCTGTACCACAGGAGCCCTGGCATGGTTTAGGCTGTATTCCCAATGCAATAGGGGGCTTCGCAGGTGGGTCCCTGAGCTCAGCTGATGGTGAGAGGGGTATGTGAATGGTCCTTAGGTGAATAGATGTAGAAGTCCTGTGGAGACCTGGAGGGGTGATGTTCGGTGGTGAGAGGGACAGCCCTGCCAGGCAGGTGATAAATGCAAAGGAGGGGATGGGACCAAGTGTGGGATCTGGATGTGGGCGTGGCTACCTGGGGTGTGGGCGTGGCTTCCATGGGTGTGGCTGGCTGTGGGTGTAGCGTGGCTCTCTGCGGGACGTGGGCGAGGCCACTAGTAGGTGGCGCTGTGGTTCCCTGTGGGACCCGGAGGCGGGGTGAGGAGTCGGAAATGAAGGGTCTCTCAGAGCTGTTGTGGGCCTGGGGCTAAGAAAGGTCCTGCTGTTGTCTGTGGGGGTGCGGTGGGAGGCTGGGCAGCAGAGGTTAAGATGAGAAGCTCCGGACAGAGTCCACCGGGCTTTGGCAGGACAGGAGGACGACGTGAAGGGTCCAGGAAGCTCCGTGGGGGTCTCACTCCTCTCCTATCCTACCCCATCTGCAGTCTCCCAGGTGGTTCTGACTCCATCTTCTTCATGTTGTGGATCCAAAATCTAATTTCTCTCATTTCTCCCTGAGCCCCAGATCCAGAGACGAGCCAACCACCGGGCAGTCCCGAGCAGAGTTGGGCATCTTGCTCTGAGACTTCCCCTGCTGGGCACACACAGAGGGTAGTTCTGGTCTCACTTCGACTGTGACCAAGTCTGAGTCTGGCAGCCTCCTCCTCCTGACGTCAGCTTCCTCCACCTCTATCCCTACACCCATGGGCCCCTCCAAGCTCCTATCTAAAAATCTGAAATACGCTTTGCGCTGAGCTTGTCTTTCTGTTTCCCCAGCCTCAGTGCCCTGAGCCCACCCCCGCCTGTGCTGTGTCCTCTGCTCTGCCCCTCACCCCCTCTGTCTTCTTGTCTGGGGAACCCAGTCAGCACCGGCTGCTGTCCCTGGTTCCTCCTACCTCACTTGACCCTGGTCTTTGAGCAAGCCCTCTACTCTGGGCTGTGATAGGCTCTCAGCCCCCTTCTCCCCACCCTACCTCTATTGATTCTGGGGACCATTCATTTTCTTTTTCTTTTTTTTTTTGATTTTTGGTCACACAGGGGTTACGCCTGGCTCTGCATCCAGGAATTACTCCTGGCAGTGCTCAGGCGACCATATGGGGTGCTGGGAATCGAAGCCAGGTCAGCCGCATGCAAGGCAAATGTCTTACCCATTGTACTATCACTCCAGCCCTAATCCTAGGGTCCTTTCTACAATGAAGATCTGTATGTGTCCATACTCTGCTCCTCCTCCAAGAAAAGGTATCAAAATATCTGCCTTCCCCGACTGCCCCCACTGTCCCAGACCTGTCCCGTGCCCCAGCTCCTTCTGCAGATACCCCAGTCCTGCTGGACCAACAAGCAAAGGTATCCCCATCCCCTGACCACAGTCCTATGCCGCTGGGGACAGGTCCTGCCTCCTCCCAGCACTGGTGAGCTCGCAGGTTCTGGCCACTTTGGCTGAGCAGCACCAGGAGGGGACCCACTGTGCTTTTAGGGTGCAGCTGCTGGAGGCTGTGCACTCTGCTCTAATGACAGCTCTGAAGAAAATATGATGTGAAGCAAAGAAAGCCTCTTCAACAAATGGGGCTGGGAAAACTGATTGATCACATGTAAAAAATGACTTTGGATCTCTCTCTAACACCAAAGCACAAAAGTCAAATAAAGATGGATTAAAGACCTTGATGTCAGACCTGAATCCATAAGTTACACTGAATAAAACATAAACGGAACTCTTAATGACACTGAAGCTAGAGGTGTCTTTAAGGGAAAAATATCATTAAGCCACTCAAACAGAAACGAAGATAAATAAAAGGAACTACATTAAATTAAGCAGCTTCTGTATCCCAAGTAAGTAGTGACCAAAATAGGGACACACTGGGAGAAATTATTTACCCATAACTCATCTGATAAAGGGTTGGTATTCAAAAAATATAAAGCAGTGCTAGAAGTATGCAAAAAAAAAATCCAACTGCATCAAAGTGAGACGAGATCAACAGGAACCTCCTCAAAGGAGAAATTCAAATGGCCAAAAAGCACATGAAAAAATGTTCTCTACCACTAGTCATCAGGGAAATACAAATTAAAACAACAATGAGATATCATCTCACACCACAGAGACTGACACACATCAAAAAAAAAAAACCAACAAGGATCAGTGTTGGCATGGATGCAGGGAATAAGGTACCCTCATTCACCGCTGGTGGGAATGTAAACTGGTCCAGCCTTTCTGGAAAACCATAAATAATCCTCAAAAAACTGAGTTGGACTCTCATTTAACCCAGCATTTCCACCTCTTGGCAGCTACCCCAAAAGACCCAAAAACACAACGGGGAAAAGTCTTTTGCATTCCTATGGTCCTTGCAGCACTATTGACAATAGGTAAAGTCTGGAAACAACTCAAGTGCCCAAGAATAGATGACTGGATGAAGAAACTGTGGTTCATATACAATGGAATATTAATCGACCCTAAGAAAAGACAAAATCACGCAATTTGCCACTACATGGAGGGACCTGCAGAGAGTCACACTGAGTGAAGTTAGTCCAGGCTGTGGGGAGAGAGAAGAAGAGAGGAGAGAGGCTGTCACACAATGGTCTCTCTCACACGTGGGATATAAAGAAACAATAAATGCCCAAAGATGAGAGAAACAAAGAACAGGAGAACTGTTTTTGAATCTTTTTGGACTCAGCCATGAGGGTTGGGGTGGGGGGACAGGACAGGGAGAGGGACAACAATGGAGGAGCGACAGTCCAGCTGGGAGGAAGAGTGGGGGCTGAGAGGTAGTGAAGTGTCTGCATGAAGCCCTATTGGTCATAGTGCTGTGAACCACAGTGCCAAGAGTTCTGAGGAAGAAATGTGGGTGAGTGGGAGGGAAACAGCGCGGAGGGGAAATTGGTGGAGGAGAGTGGGCATGCAGAAACTGTTCCTAAACCCAATTGTGAATAACTCTGTAATTCATGGTAAATTAAAAATGATCACTCTCAAGTGTGAGACTTTTGAAGACATCTATTTTGAGGGGAAGGCACCCTTACTTCCCAGCTGAAAGACAGGGTTGGTGGACTGGGCTTCGGTGTTACCCCGTCCGCACATGCCAGTTTTGTTTGGGGAACCACGGCAGACCCACATGGTCCTAAATACACCTTTAGCTTCAGGGGCACAGAACCCTGAACCTTTGAAGCCCTTGGTATCCCTCCAGGCTGGAGAAGCAGTGTCCACGGTCAGCCCCTGAGAGCTGGACTGGTGATGTGTGAAGCTCTTGGTCCTGTTCACGTCAGTCCCAGTGGGCACATGACCACAGAGCAAGTGGCTGGCCGGGATTGCTGAGTGGGAGCCTCCTACAGATACTCTGTGGGACCCAGTGGTGAGCAGGGGCATGCCTCCACTTCCCGAGCAGCAGGCCACTGCCCAGTGGCATCCAGGGGGACAGCAGGAGCGTGCATATCCAGCTACAGTGGCCCCATGATGGCTTTTTATGCATCAGGGCTGTGGGCACAGAGCCAATGAGGCTCCTGGTCTAGTGGTGCCTTTCCACCTGTCCCTGAGAGTGGTTAGGGGTCAGTGGTCATGGGTAGCTAGTGGCCAGCTGAGCAGCTGTTTTCCATGGGGAATGTTCTTCCTCATGAGCCCTCCTGCTCCCTGGACGTCCACAGGAGTCCACATGTCTTCCTTCCCCATGGCCCTGCCTGTCTTGTAACTGCACAAGGGCATGACGCCATGATGCCAGGTCCCTGGTGGCCAGAGGAGGGAGTGACCAGAGAATACTGGCAGACCTGGCCATGGTGCTGGATTAGATGCTTCCTTCCTACACTGACAGCACAGGGCTGCGCCCTGCAGTCAACATTTGCAGGACTTCAGGGCGACACCTGAGGGTCAGGGAACGTGTTCAGCAATGGATGCCTGCCGACATGGGAGGGGTCGAGTGCATGGAAGCAGGTGGGCCCCACATTGTCACCCACGCACCTGTGTCCTGGGCAGATACTGCTGGGACAGGGCAGAGATGGCAATCGAGACTCCTGGCCCAGCCTCTGCCTGGTGCAGTCGGGGAGGAGCAAATAAGGTGGTGCTGGGTTGGGTCTGCCCAGGCAGTGTGGAGTCCAGGGGACCCTAGGAGGAGGAGGCTCCGAGGGCGTGGGCCACTCTCTGGGCCACCTTGTCCAGGGCCTCCTTGACCTCGCGGTTGCGCAGACAGTAGATGATTGGGTTGAGCATGGGGGTTAGCACGGTGTAGACCACAGACACCAGCTTGTTGAAGTTGAAGGAGTAGATTGCGCGTGGGCGGGCGTAGATGAAGAGGGAGGCCGAGTAGAAGATGACCACCACAGCCAGGTGGGAGGCGCAGGTGGAGAAGGCCTTCTGGCGTCCGGAGGCAGACGGGATGCGGAGCACAGTGCTGATGATGGCCGTGTAGGAGAAGATGGTGAGCAGCAGCGGTCCCAGAAGAATAAGCAGCGCTAGCAGGAAGTCCACCAGCTCGGCCACGGACATGTCAGAGCACGCCAGGTTCAGCAGTGGTGACACGTCGCAGAAGAAGTGGTTCATGACGTTCGGGCCGCAGTAGCCCAGGCGTGAGATGAAGAAGACCTTCCCCAGGGAGATGGAGAAGCCAGACAGCCAGGAGCCGGCCGCCAGGAGGCCGCACAGACTGGGGCTCATGATGGTCGGGTAGCGCAGGGGGTTACAGATGGCCACGTAGCGGTCATAGGCCATGACGCCCAGCAGGGCGCACTCAGTGCATGCCAGTGCGAGGAAGAAGTACAGCTGCGCCATGCAGCCTGAGAAGGAGATGCGGCGGAACTGGGGCGCTGCCAGGCTGAGCAGCATCTTGGGCACAGTGACGGACACGTACCAGGCCTCCAGGAAGGACAAGTTGCTGAGGAACACGTACATGGGCTTGTGCAGTGCGGGGCTGGCGCGGATGACCACAATGATGACCAGGTTCTCTGTGACGGTCAGCATATAGGCCAACAGAAACAGCACCAGCAGGCCCAGGTGCAGGCCCAGTGAGCCAGAGAAGCCCACCAGGATGAACTCAGTCACCTCCGAGCTGTTGTCCCCAGATGACATGGTGTGCGGCTGCCTGCGGGGAAGGCCAGGGTCTGCAGGATGCCGGGGCACGTGGGAGGGGGATTTGGTGTGGGCAAGGCCAGCTCCTGGGGACTGCCTCGGGGTAGTGTGGGGGTACACGAATGTAAAACTCTTGCATTGTGGGGGAGATGGAGAGGCCATCCCTGAAAGCCTCAGAGGCTGACTGAAGGACCTGTCGACAAGCCTGGCTGGCCTCTTGGGGAGGCCAGGAGTGGTCACCCTGCTCACCCAGAGATCAACCCCTCTTCTGTGCGGCAGCATTGTGCCCCTCCCCCACAGGCATAGGAAGGGCAGGTCCCCGAGAGTCCAGATGCACAGGAGGACACAGCCTCCCTCCGTCCCTGGGGCTCAGCCACACACCCCCTGCTCTGCACCCTGTGACCTCTGACCATAGCCCCCGTGGTGGGGAGGTAGTGGGCTGCCTCCTCTTTGCTATCCCCGGGACGGAGAAACCCCAGATGGTGCAGACCGAGCCTCCCTTTTCCCTGCCGTGCTGTGGGTGCCCAGCCCATGGTCCCGGGCCTCCTCTGCTCCACACTTCCTCAGTCCCCCCCAGGCCACACCCTGACACACCTGTGGCCCCTGAGCTGGGCGGTGGGCGGCATCACCCCCAACCTTGATCCAGGGGACGGAGACTCTGCCTCCCCCTGCCCTGATGCTGCCACACCCAGAACCCTGCAGAGTGGAGCCCACCCCACCTCGTGTACCTTGAGCAGTTTCTGCCTCCCTGCTGGGGGGCCCTGACTTCTCACCTCTACCCTCGGGCCCTTGAGCCCACTGGGCAGTATGGGTGGACGGCCACCTGCATCCTGCAGAGACTTTGGAGCCAGCTGAGCCCAGATGTGGGCAGAGGGACAGAGAAACGAATGGAAGAGCAGACAGAGGGGCAGAGGGAGGGACGGATGGAGGGAGAGGGTGAGGGACAGACAGAGGCACAGACGGAAGGACAGACGGAGGGACAGGCAGAGGGACAGACAGAGACAGAGGCAGACAGAGGGACATGGGGGGACAGACAGGGACAATCAGAAGGAGGGAGACAGAGGGACAGATGGAAGGACAGGCAGATGAATGGAAGAGCAGACAGAGGGGCAGAGGGAGGGACAGACAGAGGGACAGACGGAGACAGACAGAGACAGAGGCAGACAGAGGGGCAGAGGGAGGGACAGATGGACAGAGGGGCAGATGGAGGGGTGGACAGATGGATAGAAGAGCAGACAGAGGGACAGAGGGAGGGACAGACAGAGGCACAGACGGAGGGACAGACAGGGTCAGAGAGATGGACAGAGGGACACATGAAGGGATGGCAGAAGGAGGAACATATATGGGCTTCGGGACAGGCGACTCAGATCAGACCTCAGAGAGACCCATGGACATCCCTGCCTCAGGTACAGACCAGCCCAGGACCCTGGTGCTCTCTCCGCAGGATGCACATCCTCCCGTGAACCCGCCGCTCTGCCTGGGGTGCCCCAAGCACACCTCAGACACCGGCACAGGACACACACTGTCCCCTAGGAGGTACCTGTGGACTTGCAGCCAGTGTCCAGGCATGTCCACACTCAGGTACACACACAGGCACATGAACACAGAGACCCTGGGAGCACTGTGAGCACCGAGACTCACACACAAGCACTCAAGTGTGCCATCAGCACAGGTGATTACATGGAAGCACAGGTGAACACAGGAGCAACCACAGGTACACACACAGGAGCACACACAGGAGCACAGATGTTCTTGCACACTGCACATGGGTGCACACAGACACACACAGGTTCACGAAAACAGATACCCCCAGAAGTTCAAAAGTTTTGGGGGTACCATGGGCTGCAGTGTGGCCCTGCTCAGTGCTCTGGGCTCCCACTCTCTCCTGCAGATGGAGGGCCCTGATGGTTCACCCCGATTTCCCGACACTGTGACCCTAGGTGGGGCTGGCAGAGGTGTGCCGCTCACCTGCTTCCAGAGAGCAGAAGGCTGAGTGCAATGGGCCAGCCAGGGCAAGTGGAGGCTGGCCACAGGGGTCTCGAGTTACCCTGTTCTCAGCTGGACCTAGGGTGCTGTCTCCAAGTCTGCTGCTGTCCTAGGGACCACCCAGGTCTGTTCAGCCAGACTGGCTGGAGGCTGGAGAGTGCTGGGAGGACCTCCTCATGAGACCCTCCACCGGGCCAGGGACCTGCACCTCTGACGCCCCTTTCACAGGGGCAGCCAGGTGTGCTGGCCCCCCATCTCCTGCTGCTGGGCACGTCCCTTCAGCCTGGGGAGAGCCGAGGGCCAGCACCTGTTCACCTGCCTGCCAGGCGTTCTGAAGGGCCACCTTGAGCGTGCCGGGAGGCAAGCCCGCCCTCTCCTGCTCACAAGGGACTATGAGGAGAGGGAGGAGGAGTGGTGAGTGCCGGTTCCTTCCCAGGGGCCCTGTGGCCTCCTGTCCCTCCCTGAAGGCCCCTACCCTCCCAGAGACCCCCTACCTCCAGCGCTGCAGCCAAAGCAATAGGAATCCTGTGTAGGCTAGCAGGTGTGATTGAGCAGGTGTGACTGACAGGTATGACTGGGCAGTTACACTGGAAAGGTGTGGGCTGGACAGGTGTGAGTGGTACGGGTGTCGTTGGGCAGGTGTGACTGGCAAGGTGTCACTGGGTAGGTGTGGGCGGGTGGAAAGTGCCCCACAGATGAGTGGTTGGGGCTGAGCTCAGGTCTCAGGGCACCCTCCTCCCTGATGGTGGCCAGCCCCTCTGAGGGCTGCTCAGGATGGACAGGGCATACCAAGTGTGTGTCTGAAAGGGTGCCATCACCTCCTTGTAGGGGGTGGTGGGGGCTTCTGTGGTCCAGTCTGCCCAGTCTCTCAGCCCAGGAGGGTTGACCTGCTGCCCACTGCATTGGCATCCTGGCTGCGGGGCCCAGACCTCTGGGGAACCTAAGGTTAGCTTAGGTTAGTTTTAGTTTTAGTTACTCAAGGGTAAGCTAAGGGCAAAACCTCAAATTGTCCTAAGAGATGCAAAATGGTATTTGGGAAACTCAGTATCTATATTGATAACACGTCTTTAAAGGACAGAGATAAGGTTAGTAGAGGTCAGCTCCATGTCTGCTCCAAAGTGCACCATGGTCACCTACTTCAGCCAGTCTCCCCAGGCTTGCTGGGCAGGTCCATGGTCGGGGGGCAACTGCAATTAACAGCTCCCCTCCCCCATCACTGCCAGACTCGGGGTGGCCTGGAAACACTGTTTAGACTGGCTTTTGTAGTTGGGAGGTGCTGAGACTCCGTTCCTTTCCTGGGCTTCCTGTAGGCACCTGGACATCACCCATTAATCAAATCTCTCTTGGGCATTTGGTTTGGGGAAATGTTCGTGTTTGTCCATGTTTGCAGCATTGAGCTGCAGCCCACACAGGGGTTTCCCTGAATGCCCATTTTTGTGTAAAGTTTCTGACATCTTGGCATAGTGATCCCTAAATATTTGATGCTAAGTAGGTCTTTCTGAGAATCCATTTGCTCTCTCGCTGCTATGTACAAACACAGGCCTGGTGGCCAATGGTGTCCAGGTGACTGATGAGCATCTCTGAATGTCACCCTGCTCTGAGATGCTTGGCGCCTGCCCCTCTCAGCACACTGTGAGTGGGCCTCGTGTCCCCACTCCTATTTGGCTAAGGGTCTACATAGACCTCCCTGGAGAGTGGGCTCTAGGCTAATCTGAGCTCAGGAAATGGCTCACTTATGGTGAATGGCATGTAAAGATACACACCTTTAACAGTGCTTTCTAAACTTTTATTTTTATTTATTTATTTTTTATTTTTGGGTCATACCTGGCGATGCTCAGGAGTTCCTCCTGGCACTGCACTCAGGAATTACTCCTGTTCGTGAGATGGGATGCTGGGAATCGAACCCGGGTTGGCCACATGCAAGGCAAATGCCCTACCCACTGTGCTATCACTCCAGCCCCAGTGCTTTCTAAACTCTTAAAGGAAGTTTCTGCCTCTGTCCTTCAAAGACTTGGTTTGTTATCAATATAGATACTGAGTTTCCCAAATACTATTTTGCATCTCTTAGGACAACTTGAGGTTTTGCCCTCAGCTTGCCCTTGGGTAACTAAAACAGGCTGATGTCGAGCCCACCCTGCCCTGTGGGGAAACCAGCGGGGAAGTCAGCATTGCTGGATGTTGGCTCCTAGCAGAGGTTTTCTTCGCGGATAATTCATCTTTCTCGTTAACACCAACACCGCTGGACCGGGAAGATGGCTTGAGGGGCTGGAGCCTCCGCTGGCAGGGGCGGCCCCAAATTTGATTTCTGGCACCACTGGGGTGGCCCTTAGGAATTTTGGACCTGACCAACACCAGACTGGATATAGCCAGGAATGGCCCCAGGGCCCCCGAGCCCTGCTTGGGAGACACCCCAAATAAAGCAACACTATTTTAAAAATATTTTTATTAGTGAAACACCATGAGGTACAGTTGTAGACTTACAAATTTTTGTGCTTGGGTTTCAGTTATACAATGATCCAGTACCCATCCCTCCACCAGTGCCCATTCTCCATCATTTACATTTTTAAAAATTTTTTGTTAGTGAAATACCATGAGGTACAGTTGTAGTTTTACAGATTTTTGTGCTTGGGTTTCAGTTGTACAATGATCAAACACCCATCCCTCCACCAGTGCCCATTTTCCACCACCACGGGTCCCAGTATCCCTCCCACCCCCCATCCCCCCTATCCCACCCTGCCTCTGTGGCAGGGCATTCCCTTTTGTTCTCTCTCTCCTTTTGGGTGTAAAACACTATTGAGGTTCAATTGCACTATAAGAAATGGCACAACTCTGAGGCATGCTGTCTGATTAGTTTTGAAATGTGAGTAGACCCACAAAACTATCACCGCAATGAAAACTTGTACTTTTCCATCACCCCAAAGTTTCCTCTCCTGCCCCCCTCCAACCACTGACCTGATTTCTGACCTGCCGGTGAGGTCACATTTTCTAGGCTCCACCAGTGAGCTCTCCTGTGC